TGTGTGTGTGTGTGTGTGTGTGTGTGTGTGTGTGTGTGTTATTTGACCAGCCAAAATTAAAGAAAAAAAAATAAATTGATTGAATGACTGACTGAATTAAGGTAATGAGAATAAATAAATAAATTGTGTGTTTAATAATCGGTCGCTGTTTGTAGGAATAAATTGAGATAAATATTAAGGTATGAGAAAATAACTGAAGGAAATAGGTATAATGTAATTGGTATGGTAAATGATATATGCCTTCCTTCCTTACTTATTTCCTTCCTTCCTTCCTTCCTTCCTTTTCTTCCTTCCTTCCTTCCTCCTTTGCCTCCCTCTCTCCTCCTGTCCTCGTCTCTTATTTCCCCTATACCTTCCTCCTTCCTGTCTCCATACCTTCCTCCCCTCTCTACCCACCCCCACAGCCTTCCACTCACCCGTACCTTTCTTCCCCTTCCCCTACCACCGCTACCCCCTCTCTCACCTTCCTCCCCTACCTCCTCTCCTCTCTACTTTGGTCTTTTTCCCTTTACTTTTTCCCCCTTCCCCTACCACCCATCCCCCTTCCTCTACCGACCCACCCCTTTCTCTACCTCCCCCATTCCTCTACCCACCCACCCCTTTCTCTACCTTCCCCCATTCCCTACCTTCCCCCTTGAGGGACATCGTCTGGAGTTCTCGTCGTGTAATTAGAAGGGTCTAAACTTCCATAATGCGACCGCGTCCCGAATAGCCGAAGGTGGAGGTTTGTGATGTCATAAAACTTATTTTGACAGCTTCTGAAACACACACACACACACACACACACACACACACACACACACACACACACACACACACACACACACACACACACACACACACACACATTCTAAACTCTAAACATAATACTAAAATGGACAAACACACTCAATTACACATTCACATTCTCTCTCTCTCTCTCTCTCTCTCTCTCTCTCTTTCTTTCCATTCTCCCTGTATCCCTTCTACTCTCCCCTTCCTCTTTTTCCTTTTCCTCTTTCCCTCACTGCTTCTATTGCCCCGTCCTTTCCTCACCTCTTCCCTCTTCTTCTCTCTTCTTTACTACCTTCCTTCTCTCTTTTTTCGTCTTCTATGCCTTGCCTTTCCCTCTTTTCTTCTCCTACTCTCTCTCTTTCCTCCCCCTACCCTCTTTGTTTCCCCTTCCCTCTTTCTTCCCTTCCCTCTTTCCTTCCTCCTACCCCCCTTTCCTCCTCTCCTCTCACCTCCCCTCCTTCCACTACCCTCTCCTTTTCCTCCGCCCTACCCTCTCCCGCTCCCCTCACTCACCTACCGCTCACCTTCCCTCATTCCTCCTCCCCTCTGTCCTTCACCTCACTTTCCTCCTCTCTCTCCCCTTCCCCTCCCCTCTCTCATTCCCCTCTCCTCCCTGCCTCTCTCCTTCTCCTCCTCCCCCCCCTCCCTCTCTCCTTCCCCCTCACTCTCCCTCTCTCTCCCCTTCCCTTCCTCCCCCTCCCCTCTTTCCTCTCCTCCCCTCCCCTCTCCTTCCCCTCTCCCCCTTCCTTCAGGTCTGTGGACGCTCTCTGCACAATTTGCTGTCACGTCGATCAAAGTTTATTACTGCAGAGACAACTCGACAACACAGTCAGGTCCAGCGCTCCTCTCTGCCCCCCCCACCCTTCCTTGGGACTTCCCTACCCTCCCTCTTTCCCTCCTTCCTTCCTTCTTTCTTCATTCCTCTACCCCTGCTTCCCCTCGTCGTCACCGCCTTTGAGACTTCTCTTCCTCCCTCATTCTTTATCTTCCTCCTCCTCCTCCTTTCTTCCCTTTCATTCATGACTCCTCCAGTATGCCAAAATCTACACACACACACACACACACACACACACACACACACACACACACACAGCGCGCGCAAAAATATCTGTTTAAGTTTGCATAAATGTAACTTGTAATCCATAAATCGCTTTTTACGCAAATAAGCAAAAATTAATTATACCAACACGTATTTTCTCTCCCTTTTCTCTCCTTCCTTTCCCCCATCCTTTCCACATATCTCCCCATCCCCCTCTCCTACCTTTTCCCCTCCCCCTTCCCTTGTTTCTCCACATCCCTCTCTCTTCCCTCCCCATTCCTCTCCATCCCTCTTCCTTTCTCGGTTCTGGTATTCTTTCACTTTAACCATTACATTCCAACATCACTACTGGTCAAGGGACAGTGGTTTTAAATCCCCACCCCCACCCAACACCCCACCCCACCCCACCCCAACACACACCCCACACACCACCCCACCCACCTACTCCTGCACTTTGTCTATTATTGACACTACCTCATGCATACTAATGACGATATGCCAGTCTCCCCCTTCAACGCCATCCCAGTTTTCTACAAAATATTGCCAGTCATTAAAAGAGAAAATGGGTCTTTTTTTGTTTTTTGTTTAGGAGAGATAAACCGCACAGACTGGTGAGGATTTGTTTTAGTTATAGGGTTTTTTAGGTTTTTATTTATTGCACTTCTATTTTATTTATTCGTATGTTATGATTTTATTTTCTCCTAATTTTTTTCTTTGCTTTGGTTCTTTCCTCGTTCTCTTATTATTTATTGATATTTTCGTCTCCTCTTCTCCCCCTCCACCTCCCCCATATCTATCGTCATCTTCCTCGGTTCTTATCTTTCTCCACCTTCTTCCTTTTCCTCCAAATTCTCCTTCTCCTTTTCATCTAACTTCTTCTTCATCTCCTCTTTCTCCAACTTCTCCAGCTTCTAGTGTGAAACATAGATTAATGTATTTCAAAATCTGTCGTATATGGGTGTGAGAATCAGTTAGGGATGAAAATCTGGTAATTTTCATCAGAATCATTGGATGTTTCTCAAAAAATATGTTGATCAAATCTGATGTTTATATTAACAAAATCTGGTTTTGTTCACCAAAATCTGTTTTTGTTCATTAACGAAATCTGTGCAAGTTGATGATTAATGATTTTTTTGTTTTACAGATTCTGGTAACTCGTTGAACGGACTCTGTATTGTCATTAAATCTTAACACCGTAATCTCCGGATTTATATATATCAATAATATAATATAAACTCAGTGGATTTTACCCCAAGCTGGACCACTGTTAAGTAAATCCACCAAAATAACTCGCAAACGTCCATCAGATCCATAACAGAAAGAACCCATACACTCAAAAAGTCACCATCACTCCGGATCGAAATCGAATTTGTTACTAAAATGAGTTAATCGGATCCCCCTACAGCCGACCCTCAACCGACTCTCCAGTGTCCATTATGTCCTCTTAATCCTCACAAGCTGATTATTGATGAGGGATTTGATGAAGCTTTTGGGGAGAGGGAGAAATAAGGGATGGAGTACAGGTATTGATGTGTGTGTGTGTGTGTGTGCACAGGGTGGTGTAATGCGTCTAGCATTATGTTTGTGTTAAGGTGCAAGCACTGCTTGCTTCCTCTCGTTTTCAGCTGCCGCCGCTGGCTAGCCCTCGTGGCGAACAGAGAAGCAACTTCCATAAGACTTCCCCTGCCAGTACACAGCCTCTTCACCATCAAGACTCCTGCTGTGCCTCCTCGTGGCAACACACGGTAACTGGGTGCCTCGTGGGCCCAGGCTAGACCAGCAGGGGATATTGGAGCAGCAGTGGGCTCCAAAAGGAAAGCGCATAGGCCCACTGGCATGTGGACACGTCCTAGCGCCTACCAACCATTGCCCCGCTGCCTTGGGGATTAACCTTGGTAGGTATAAGGCTACGGGAGTAAACCCCGAACGAAAAATCTGCAGTGGAGCCCCGCATCAGGCAGAAATGCTTACAGATCTCCAACAAGACTCCAACGGCGGTATAGGCGGAAGAGGTGACCGCCATGGGAACCCAACAACTACACCGGTGGACGAAGGCAATGCATGATGGACAGGCTACTAAGACGAAACCCAACAAACTAGGCTACCGGCAGTCCATTGCAACTCTTTCCCTCCCCAGTCATTGCAACACTTGCTCCACTGGATCTGGAAAAGGTTGAGCCATTATGTGTGGTTGCAGCCTGCACTCCTGCCTCACCACATAAATCAACTCAAGCACAGCCATCATCCAGCTCATCATACTTTTCATCATCATCAAAACCCTCCTACCCCAATAGTCCTATGGTGGCGGACGAGTCGCGACGGGGACAGGCAGAGATGACTGCCGGGAGTCTCTAGTCACAACTGCACATGGGCGGCACAGATAAGATGTTCGTTTATGCACTAGGATCTAGGCAGCAGTGCAATCCGGTCCTGTCTGTGTGACTGAGCAGCCTTTGGGGAGTCACTCTGCTCACCCCACATGGGAAGGGGGCTAGAAAAGATGCCCTAAACATAGCCTGCCTAAAGAACCAACCTGACTGGGCAACCGCACCCAGTAAGGTCATCCTTATGCGGTCGAAAACACAATCTTAAAGACAGATCAAAACAAAAACAAACTTTACAACCTATTATGGTCTCTGCCATATGGCATCACGAAAATTGTGACCAAGTCCCAGGTTGCTTATCTGACTTTCTGCCTCATTTACACACAATTGCAGGGTCTCAAGGAATATTCCGAGAACGGACAACTCGCCAACTGCACTGGCTAACCGTTACCCCGGAACATGATCCGCAAATCGATTAACATCCAGGTTCCCAATTACTGCTGGGTAGACAGAGGCAAATGGCGTAAAGAAACCTGCCCATTTTTTCACCCTGCCCGGGGATCGAACCCGGTTCCGCTCGCTTGCGAGGCGAGATTACTGAACATTACACCACAGGACGCCCTATACATACATACATACATACAAACATACTTTCTGTGACTTTCTGACACTAAAAACACAGTAGGTGGAAGGGTTGTCGAGGTGACTGCCACGTATTACCATTGCCTCCGTCAACGAGCTCAGTCACGGCCGGTACTCCCGCATCTGTCAGTCTGAGTAATATGGCAACAAATACAAACTTTTCTGAATTGTTTTTATTTTGGATGTTTGTAGTGTGTTTACAAGGTTAAACACAAACAAACACACCTATGAAAACGGTATAAATATATATATCTATATATATATAAATTATAAAAACACATTTGCTTATAAACTATATCATAAGTTGACGGTGGCCGAGTGGATACAGCGCTCTCACCCCGTCCTAAGAATCGGTGGTTCGCTCCCGGAGCACCTTCAGTCGACCCAACTGTGAATAGGTATCTCCATTTACAGCTGGGGAAGTGAAGGCTATCGAGTGCACTGCCGGTCACACTACTTCTTTGTATACCGAGGGCATAACATTCAAGCGTGTTGCATCTACACTGCTCCTAACTGACCGTCAAATCCATGTGATTCATATTCACTTTTGACACACTCACACACACCATCACTTATATCATTCACAAGCGATCAAAGATCACAAATTTTATCCCATGTGAAAAAAAA